ACCAGGTTTTGTCTTGACCTATAGCACATCCAGGAGAAAAGAGATGGAAATAAAGAGAAAAGCTTTAAAATTTGTGGAATATTTGTTAGACAGGTCAATTCCAGTGAGGCTATAATGACTAGATTTTTAAAATTGCATTAATATCCTATTTCACCACCAAAATTATTCAGATGTCATATAGCTTTTACTATCGATTGTGGACCAAAATGGGAAGAGCTGTTTTTACACGCAGCAGCCTCATCACTGGCATCTATTTGTTTCTAACATAAAAATAAACACTAGATTGTAAAACTACTGTTTATAGTTTTTGCTGGCTGTTTTTGCTGGCTGTTCAGCCGCATCTTGATCAATTCATCAAGTCACTTTATGCACATCCATATGTCTATTTACGCTCTGCAAACTCCGTTCTGGACACCTGTGAACCAGTGAACAAATGTTCACTGCAAAACGAGGAAGGTCAATATGTGATGCCATTACCTTAACTTATACCCATATGGTAACATGCTAGGAGAAAGTACTTCTAGGGGAAAACACTATTTATTGTTCATTACATTTTAATAGCATCTTTAAGAACACTTTTGGAAAAGTACAACTTAAGAGAATTTAATTAGCGTGGATGTGTGATATGCCTCATTTCAGATAAATCTGATTATTTAATTAAGAAAAAACTTCTTGGTTTGCTGCTAGCTAGCCAAAATATTGTCAATTAACTTGTCAAGTTGGTACATCTGTGATTTTCAGAATTCTTACAGTAAACTCTGACATGATGGATTGTGGCATAAACTCTGAAGAGAGTCTAGGGAATGGCTTTAAAACAGGCAACCTGTTTGATAAGCAAAGAAAAGGGAGCAAAAAGTACATATTCTCATTGGAATTCGGTAAGCACTGAAATCCTGTGAGGGTCTGTGATCAGATTTAAGCTTTTAAATAACTCAGTTATATTCTATCATGGCTACACAGTAGAAAGTGGGCACTCTTTTGGCACCACTGATAGATAACAACAGGACTGCTATGGAGTTTCCACTGTGGTTATTGCCCAGAAGGGCAATTTGCCGAAATGGAAGTGAGAAATAGATACTGTCACAGCTTCCCATATTCGTTACCCAACAGTGTATACAAATGCATAGATATATTAGATAAACAGATATATCTGTGAGTTTTAGTGTATATTTAATAATACTATGCTGCCTATTTACAAGTGTAATGCAAATAAGCAATCTGTTTGGAAAAGAGAGATGGCACTAGGAGGATTTAGGTGTAGGACAAATGAGCTTGTATACAAGAAACCCCTACTCTACACACAAAGGGAGAGGGAAAAAAATGACCTTATACAACTTAAGCAGCCCAGCCATATGTTCCTGCCCCATTCCTCACGCCTGCGGTAAGGATCATGCATAATCATCTGGATGAAAACTTTTTTCTTTGCTAATTTGGTGCTCAGTTGTGGCCCACTGCACATGCCGCCTGATCACTAGATCTGGCACAAAGATAGCTTTGGAAAAAAGCAGGACAGGAAAAGCTGGAAGAAAGACGGCCCCTTGCTGTGGCAGTGTGAGCTTACATTAGCAAAAGCCAAACAGCAAAAGCAAACCTTCAAATGTAATGGAAATATTACAGGTGATCTGACTGAGGTGTTTCAAATAGTGCTTTGAAGTTAAGTGTAAAGTGATACAGGTGAGATTGGTGGATGTATAATATAAACTGCATTATGGATTACCTTTAAATTGAAACTTCAGGCATCCAGCAAAGATAAGGCAGGAGGGGTGCCTGGAGTGGAAAGGCACGAAAGGCAATAAATGTACCCAGGTCTTGTGCTTTTGCCACTGCCTCGAAGAGAAACTGCAGAGTAGTGGCAAGGTGCTGAGCAGAAGACGGTAGAGACGGGAAGGCGTGGGGATAACACATTCCGCATGTGTGGGAATAACAATGCACAGGCAGCAAAATATCTTCCCTTAGCTTTGTATTTTACCTCTTCCCTCACTCCAAGTTTGGGCCTTTAATGTGTCTCACCAAATAAAAGAAAAAATATTCAATTGAAAACTAAAAAACAAATCATGAGGTGACATTAATTTTATAAAAAGGGTAATGACCGTCAAGTTGCATTAAAAACTGAGACATTTTGATTATGCCATTCAATTTAATGAAAGATATAATGCTCATTTAATCACGTATATTCAGGAATTAGTGACTATGTCTTTTTATGAATCACCACAGAATATAGGATTTTTTTTCTCTTCAAGACTTCTGGGAAGAGTTTGCAAAAGTGAAGGACCCTGACTTTCAACACAAAGGTAAATATGAAGATAAAATGAAAGCTACAGTTGTTGTTATCAAGTCATCATTATGCAGACAAAGGACCTGCAGCCTTACTGCCCCACACCGTGTAACCAAGCAATCAAAAGCCCATGGAGGCACCTAAAATTATCAAGGATAACCTATTCTCTTTATGCAGGAAACCTTTTCCAAAAGCATGCTGTAGAATGCTTCTAAGAAAGCATTTTCTAAACAACGCTGTGCACTCAAGTGCTGAATGAGTCACACATTTATTTCTGACTCTGCCAATAGAGTGACAGATATTAGCCAGCAAACAGAATCTGAAATACTTTATTAGCTACCTGCCAAGCTATATGTATATCTTTGCTCCAAAAGTAAAAACATGAACTCTTCCCTTGCCAGCGGATGACACAACTGGCAGTGCTAAGAAGCAAGCTAAGACTTGATTTCGCCAGAGAAGGTATTGGCCTTCCAACCTCAACACTGAAAAATTGTAAATAATTATTATTATTTAGCGATAATAATTGCTAAATTATTACTCTTGCAAAGTGCTGCCATGGCTAGGACCCTGTTAGCAAATTAAACACAATTTGCCAACACACACAATTTGCTAAGGCGTAATAAGCTCAAGTACTGACTCGGTGTCAGCGTGCTCTCTAGCACAGTTCTGGCCCAGGCCAGCAAGCACATAGTGGCCAGGGACAAATCAGAAGATAGGGTGGGCCAGGGCACCTCTCAGTACAATGTACAGATGTGGTCACCCTGTCTGGGGATAGATGGAAGATATTTTGGCTGCATGAAGACAAGCGGGCTTGCTGTTTGTCCTGAAAGTCAGAGAACTGAGCTTCTTGCCAGTAGGTGAATGTGCGTGTTCACCTCTCATTTCCTATGCTGTTGTCATGGCACTAGTTGTCTCTCAGAGCTTGCTTAAAACTATTTCTTCCCAACAGCTGCAAATGATTGAGGTCCCAGTTCTTTCCCATGTTTCTCCTGCCTGAGTCACTGTTGCTTCCCCTTATTCAGAGTAGATCCCCAAAATATACTGTGCCAGACACCCTTGGGCAGCTACCAATGACTGCGCTCACTCTGTGTGATGCTCTGTGTCACTGCCTAGACATTAAGCCCTTCTAGGCACCTGAACAGCTTGCCTGTAAACAAGAAAGTTGTTTCTTGATGCTTTGCGAAGGATTGGCTTTTTAGCATATTTTCAGCCCAGTGCTGTTCTGAAGCGGCTTGCCACCAGACAGTTAAAAAAATATGTCATGATCAGACAAAAATATTTAACAACACAGGAGAGCTATCCATAGGATAAAAGACGTAGCTTGCTCTTTTCCATTCTGCTCTCAGACCACTGATGAATAGCAAGCCCTGAGTCCTTTTGTTTGCCTGCATACCCTATATTTCAGCTCTTCTATTCACATGGTTTCTTACCCTTTAGAAGCCTTCTGCTCCAAAGGGCGTAACTAAAGATTTCCCTCATGAAGAGCAACCATTCCCAGTCCTTTCCAATAAACTGTTGAGACAGTTTTGGGGAAAGTGATCCCGAGGTGGACAGGGCAGCATGCCCCAGCCAGTGCTATCATCTTCTGTAAGTGCTGAGAAGCCCAAATCATCTGAGAGCCACCAAGGATCCTCTAAACTGTCGGGACCATCTGCTTTTAGATAGTGAAAACTGTCTCCCTGGCCGTGAAGGGGCATTAGAGTTTCCACAGTCAGTAAAAAGATGCTTTTTACTGTGACAGTACAAACACAGATTCTTTGTCTAGTTGAACGATGATTCACTTTAAAATATTACCCAGTTATTTCTCTTGTGCCACAGACTAATCCTCACAGAGGGAAATATGTTATTTAACTTATTAGTTGATATTTATGGCACAATTATAAAAACCTTAGATTTGCAACAATGCAATAAAACATTCCATGTAGTCAGTCAGGCTACAGTAAAGTTCTGCTTTAGTGTATTTGAAGGTGTGAAGGCATATGATTACAGTCAGAAGGATTTCATCTCCCTGTGGCTAAACTGTAAATTATTCACATCAGTTTGAAAAGCTGAGGAAGGAAGGACAATTATTTTCTCCACTTCCACGCTGAAGGAGCAGCAGGACCAGAGCACAGAGAACAAGGACGATCACCTCTTCGAAATTCAGGTTGTGTTTACTTTTGTTCATATTGCAATATTTGTGTTTCAGGAAACAGAATTTTTCAGCAAGATGTGTATGGACGTGTACAGTATAATGCTTTCCAGTGACTCATTTCTAAACTAAATCAATACTAACATCCAAGGCAGGCTTAGCCCTAATCCTTTTCCATTCCACTTGTAGTGCAAGGATGTGTTTTTTCTTCCTTTAAAGAGATGGAGAAAAGGGACACACTCACAGCAAAAGTAGTGTGGAAGAGGGGCTCATCTCTGCCACTGTCCCAGGGGAAGGGATCGGCAAAGGGAGCACATCGGTGCAGGCTCTGCTCCCTGCTCAGGCTGGTGGCAAGGACAGGGAGAAGGGCAAGCCCTTAGTACTGATGCTGCTCCCTCTCTGCTCCCCTCTCCGCTTCCCTCCTTCCTTTAGGAAACGTTTTTACCATATTTAAGTTCCATTCACCTACATTTTCCTATCAAGAATCTGCTTTATTATTTCCTAACTTACTGTGCAATGCAAACTGAAACATTTCAAATCAGCAATGCCTGCCTCTTGGTACTTGGTAAAGTATAGATGTGTTCCCACAAAAACAACCACCTTCAGGCAGTCATTCAGCAATGCTTAACGGCCATGAAATCCTATTAGGTGGGCAGGTAGTCAGCAAAAGAAGAAATGCACCCCACACTCTGATTATACACTGGGCCTGCCAACTACATTTGATGCCATTCTGACCTGCAGTGGGTCTTAAAAAGTGCTGAACTGAGTACAATTTTACTTTAAAGCAATTGTGCCGTAATTCTTAGGGTTTAGTATTGTCAGCCAAGTTTTAATTCATTTCATGTTGCTTTGGACTCAACAGCTTTAAATGTAGGAAAGACAGGGATCTCAATAATATGTGAGCTTCAAAGTGAATGAATTAGTGAAAAATCACTTTGAGATGTCAGGTCACATCCAAAATGCCCCAGAACTGATTAAGCTGGAGAAATACATATATATATTAACTTGAACACTCCGACTTTAACTTCTGTATCCTGAAGACCGTTACCTATTTTCTCTCACGTTTTCTTCCTTTTAAAACCTTTGCAATCATTTTATTCCCAAGCTCTATCCAGCCTCAAGTCCCTGTCCATAATTCCTTGACAGATAAGAAATTGCACTGTGTTCTTTCTGTTACTTTTATTTAAACCTGTTCACAAAATAAGGAAATACCATTCTGTCTTAGTTCTGCATGTAAAGATGACTCCTCTCCTACTATTTCTAAACATACATTTCTTTTGATAGGTCTTTCCACTGCATACTCAAAACCAGATATGACTGACGGAGCATTATAATGAACTAAAAAGACCTATAAACATTGTATTAAGATATGGAAGAACATCTCTGTGCGAATTTTGCCTCATTTGCCTGACTCATAAAGAAATGATAACTGGATTCTTATGTATGGTGTTAGTGCTCTAATATGGCCTTGCACTTTCTTATCATGAATCACTCATAATCATCTTTTAAAAGATTATTTCGTTTTAAAAAACAAAAACCTGAAAAAGATACAGAAAAAAGAAACAAGGATGTTCAAAGATGTGGGACAGTGTCCGTACCAAAGAGACACTAAATGATTTCATCTCTTCAGCATGCAGAAGAGGTGACTGAAAGAGCCTTATGGTTAATATCATCTAGAAAATTATGAATGTCACTCAAAAAGCAAAGAAAGAACATCTAATTATTCACTGTTTCTCTCAGAATAAGAACAGAGAGCAAGCAGTTGATTTAAAACAAAGAAGGAAAGTACTATTTCACACGGTGCATAATTAAAAGTAAATCTTGTTGCTACAGAGTGTTGTAGAAACCAAAGTATAACAAGGTTCAGAAAGTAACTTGAAAGACAAATTGCTCAAAAATTACTTAGCAGACAAAATTTATTCAGGAACTCCCTAAAATTCCATTAGCTGAAATATAATGGGGAAAATCTCACAGACGTCTCATTATTTCTCTAAGCGTTCATTAGTGGTCGTGATCACTGGGACAGACTATATGACTTCTCCTCTGACTCTTGTTCAGAAAGTTTGGCCCCAAGGGGACTAAAATGTGGTCAGAATTCAAATGAAAATCTGAAACATAATCTCCCCTTCTTTCTATGATTTTACTCTTGCTCTTCACCAGTTAAACTGGCTTTGATTTAAATGAGCTTATGTGAAAAAATACGATGTCAGAATGTTGTTGTATATAAACAAAGCTGTAAAAAACAGAACATTAAAAGTGGTTGATAAACAGCAGTAGACTGTCAAGTTATCATACGTCTCAGGACTCAGTAAGACTCTCTGGTTTGTCATTTGGTCCACTGTATTTACAAATACTGTCAAGGATTACAGCTATTTAAAACAGGGATCTATTCAGGATGGAGGAAAGCAAGGTAACTCCGCAGGAGCAACACAGCTTTGTATGAGGATATTCACTGCAACTTTCCTCAAAGAGCTAAGGAGGGAAATAACAATTACTATAGATTTTTTGCTTCTACAAATTTTTCAGAAATGGCGTAGCACAGCTGAGCAGTACATACCAGCTTACTCTCCGTGACCACAGGTGCTGATTTGTAAAGACTGGCCTGCAAAAAGTAAATATACACAATATTACTTCTTACAATATCATAGTGCTTATAATAACGATGGAAGAACATAACCCAAAAGGATAAGTATTTTCTCTGATGATTAATGGTTCCTGAATGACAGCAAAAGTAATTATATTCACAATCATCATTTCACTTGTATTTTTCTGAGGCCTGCTTTAAGAGAAAGAAAAACACAAAGACAAAATATGTGTAGGTACAGAAGCTTTTGTCACTGATGCAATGACATGCAACCAGTGAGGGAAGTAAAAATATTGTCATTCACAGTTTATCTCCAGGTATAACTGAATACGAATTGGTCTTTTGCTAAAGTCTTAGGGGTGCTTTTTTCGAAGTGCAACGAAATTTTACTTGTTCATCTTTAAAGAAAATGTAAATCCTGATGCTCTGTAAATTCCGAACCTGCCATTGTTTGCTACTTTTCAACATCAATATTATTAATACTATCAATAGTATGAACAGCTCAGTTCAGTTTTCTCATCCTTCTGACTTTACAATATGAAAAACATAACAACTCTATTCAGGATTTACTTTTTCTGAATATACACTGAACAACAGAAGCCCTGTTTTCAAGGTGTAGGCAAATGTGTTGAATGCAGTGTATTTATCACAGACTCACAGAATGGTTGAGGTTGGAAGGGACCTCTGGAGATCATTTAGTCCAACCTCCCTGCACAAGCAGGGTCACCTAGAGCAGGTTGCCCAGGATCGCCTCCGGGCAGCTTTTGAATATCTCCAGGAAAGGAGACTCCACTACCTCTCTGGGCAACCTGTGCCAGGCCTCTGTCACCCTCACAGGAAAATTTTTTCCTCACGTTGAGATGGAACTGCCTGTGGTTCAGTTTGGGCCCGTTGCCTCTTGTCCTGTCACTGGGCACCACGGAGAAGAGTCTGGTCCCATCCTTTTGACACCCTCCCTTCAGATACTTGTACACATTCATGAGATCACCTCTCAGTCTTCCATTCTCCAGGCTGAACAGGGCCAGCCCTCTCAGCCTTTCCTCATGGCGAGAAGCTCCAATCCAATCCACTAATCATCTCCACTGTATTTATGTGCGTTTGTGAGATAGTCACATGCCACATGTCTACTCGCTCTCACTATGTGAGATTCAGGATTTCTGGTGCATTGATCAGCTCCCTCAAGCTCCATACTATTCTGCTGGATAACTCAATGATTCTGTAGAAATAACGTGCCCTTCCTTAATGCAGGTATGATTTGGAGGCCTTGAGACTCAAAAATGCGAATATTCTGTAATACAGTGGTAAAAAAGTACGAGTTATAATCAAGTACTAGCTTGATGTACATCTAGCTGTAGTAAAGACAGGCCAGTGCAGTTACAGCCTGTGCGCTTTGTAGAAAGGATACTACAGTCAGATTTTGATTGATTCAGCTCTACTTTTTTCTGCTGGCTTCAAGAAGAAAAGCAGTTCTGGAGAGAGAAGAATAAGGTCTTCTGTTGTTCCTCAGTGACAGAAACTTTGCAGAGATTTGGCCAAGGATTAGTCAGGCACCCTTTTCTCCACCAATACTACAGATTCACAGAGTAGCTAAGGTTGGAAGGGACGTCTGGAGGTCCAATCCCTGCTCAGAGAGGAGGGAGGTCTAGATGATGTTGCTCAGGGCTTTGTCCAGTTCAGTTTTGAATATTTCCAAGGACAGAGGGAATTCCAGCTCTTTCAGCCCCTACTCATCTGTAATGCTCTCCAGCACCCTAATCATCTTGGAGACTCTCTGCTGGATTCACACCAGCATATCAGTGTCTTTTCTTGTGCTGGGAAGCCCAAAACTGGACACAGAACTCCAGATGTGGCCCCACAGGTGCTAAACAGAGATGATTAATGACTCTCTTGACCAGTTGGCTGCACTCCTGCGACCTTGGTGAGAACAGTTTCTCCACAAGTCATTGTACCAAACTCCTCGCTGACAACACTCACATCTCCAAACACAATCACTGATGAAGAAAAGTGTCTTACCCACACAGGGATAGCTGTAATTTAGCATTAAACCTACAAGAAATACATTTGTTCTTGGCTGAGTAAACTAGAGTTTGCACTGGTGGTTACTTATATATTATGGTTTCTCTTACATGCCATCAATGAACTATGACAGCCTATCTCCCTGTAAACTTAAAAACATCAAAGCACTTGAGAACAAGCTGCAGACACAAGCTGCTGCCACTTCCCCATGGTGCAAAATAACAGTAAATCTAATTTCAAAGGAGATATCTGAAATGTATATAAGTATAGCAGACCACGAATAAAAAAAGAAGTTGTTTCTGCATGTCTGTGTGTATCCCTGAACCTTTTAAGCTATATCATGCTCACTCATTTTTCACTTCTCAGCATTTCATGTCGATGACATTAAAAAATCTTTTTTTTTAGAACTGAAAAACAGAAAAAATTGCAACAATAGGCATGTTAATTATTCCAATTAGCAACTGGAAATAACTTTAAAAAGACTGGGAGTAGCTTTAAAAATAATTGTAAGAGGGGTCAAAAGACAAAAAGATAAAAAGGCTTTTCTCGGTGACAGTAATTAAATGGAAATAAAATGATTAGGTATATATTAGGGCAATCAATACCCATAAAAGTCATTTATTTAGAGAATAATTATATCACTACGAATCAGCAATGTCATCACTAAAGCCAACAGAGATGCACCATATAAAATGATGAATGGAACTGTATCAAAGATCTTCATATGGTTTAAAAGATTGTTGAATGAAAACTGTAGTACTTGATTTTTAAGTGGTACAAAACACTATAGCTTCACTGAAGTCAGGCCTTTTTCAGTACTTTTTATGCAATCACCTCTTGCAATTTTTACCGTCATTTATATCTATAGAAAAGATAAAAAGTGGGTGTAAAGTCAAGCAGTCATTGAGACAAAGGCAAATCAAGGCCATTTTAATTCTTAAATGATAAGCTTTGATTCAACACGTCTGTGTTGTCTGCTGCTCCATGTAAAACTTTAGCAGGATGACAGATTTTGCTATACCTGACTGACAGATAAATTGAACTTTTTTCTTTTAACCAAGAACACACTGTAGGCCACTTTTCAACAGGCACTCAGTATCAGACATCATACATACAAAAAGAAATAACTATATTGCTAAATTACCATATTGATCTTTTCCAGTAAAATGAATTCAGCTGAATAAACTAAAAGCCTGCTTCAGGAAAAAAAAATTCACTAAAAAAGTGACTAATTGAAAATCATAGACAGCTCAAGTGACACAACGTGGGATAGGAAGCTTCCTGGGGGAACTCACGGTTTGCTATTATGATAGCAAACATCCTTACAATACTCAGCTCTTGATTTCTATCAGAGAAATTATTTGACGGCTCAAAATAGACATCTTGTTTTGAAACAGACATCTTGCCCTTACTGCTAAGTAACATTGGCCCCTGGGCTATATCTTTGCTAATCAAGAAAAAACAGCAAACGTAGGCTCAGGCTTTGGCCTGGGATTGTCCTTTTTATTTAACTGTTAGCGCACTCCCTTGCACGATTTTGGGCCACTCCTGTTCCAGACAGTCCTCTAGCATGGTATGGATGATATGAGGGAGCATATTGATCCCCTTTAGATGTTGGGGTGAAGCCATCAAGAGGGTTGTTTTGGAGAGTCCTTTCAAGGGGAGGAAAGAAGAAGGGAAAGGGAAGAAGACAACTGTACAGAAAATCAACGCCCTGGGCCCCCACCCTCAGGGCCAGAGGACAAGCCTGGCATGGTTTATCTTCTAGAACAGAAATAGTATTTACGTGTTACACTGAGGTGGCAAAGAAAGTCATGGGAGCGTAAGTAGGTTAGCTACCAGGGTGGTTTGGGTCACCCTGCTGTTCCTTGGGCACCCCAGTGCCCCATGCAGTGGTGATGGAGGCAAGGGAAAGCCAGGACCGCAGCAGGGCTTGGGCACCACCACGGCATGGATGAATTGCAGCAGGCTTCAGGGGAAATTACAGCTCGGGACGGACAACGAAAGGAAACCACAGGAGAGGCAGCTCCCCTGGGCATAATACGGGGCTTGAAAGGCAGACTGTGTTAGAAACATTCAGAAAATCAGGCCTTTTAGCTACATGGAATTTACTGATATCCCTTCAGGCCTAAAAGCTCCCTTAATGACTGTAGTCGTTTTCCTAAAAACCATAATAAGTTAGAGCAGGGTACCACATTTATATATATATATGGAGACCAAACATAAAATAAATTAACTCAGGCAGAAGGGTGGTTAATGAGAATAGCTATCTAAAGAGATGCTAGTAAAAAACATGCAAAAGATTTTAAGAATCATCTGCTTTGCTGTTTGACATGAAAAAATTCAACACATTTGTACAACTTATAAGAAAAGGTAGCTTCCCCACAAACCTCTCCATTATTGCTATACAGATTTTTAAAATATTTTAAAAATATTGATCCGTTTCAGTTATCTAGAAATTTCCAAGAGAGACCGGAAGGAAAATTTTATGAAAGTGATTTTGCAAGCAAAGTAAATCTAACTGTATCATTAAACGTATAAGTCAGATGCCTGAAATCATGCTGTATAGGTATAGTTCAGACATAGTTTTCAGAGCTGGAGATCTGCACTGGAGTGGCAGCGGTACATATCCTCTTCTCACAGACTAGCTTTGAAACATGATCTTTTATTTCATTAAAAAACACTCTTCCAATCTCCTTTCTAATTAATATGAGCCAGCACAATCTGTCAAGTTAAAATCTCAGTATGTAATAAAATATGTGTATCACCACATTCAAGAAACAAAGTTGAACTGATCATTCAAGCATTGTGCTGGCAGAAAACTAGAAGGTCTCTATTGCTTTGGCTGGCACTGCTTTGATCCTGGGTTTGATAGAAAGGCTGAATGATGAATAGTAAGCAGACATTTCTCACCAAAAAACTAGATGAATTTTAAGTAAAATGTAGAACATGCAGTAACTGCTTGTGCTAGTCAGAATTAAAATGATAATTGAGTTTAATGTTCCAGTAATCGAGCTGATGACTTAATATAGAGAATTTCTTTATACATTGGAATGTGTGTGCATGTGACAAAATAGCTTCTTTTAAAGAGGCTAAACTGTCAGTTTTCAGCCAGCTCTACACCTCAAAAGGAAAAATTTGGGTCAACCCCAAATTCAGATCGTCAATGACCAAAGGACTTCTGTTAAAGCAAGTCCTCCACAGTGCAGACTAATTCTGTACAATTAACCTCTTCAGCACCTGTAATAGTCTGCCAAATATCTGAGCTCCTGCCCTGAGCTCAAAGCAAAATACAATAAAAAAGTGTAAGTAAATTAATTTTAGCATCATATTCACATAGGCAAAATTACCAATAGACACACACTGAAGATTATAGATATGATGAATTTAGAGCAGTGGTAAAACATTTCATGTCTCAGTCGTCAGTGCCCTGACCTGCTTGCTCCATGCTAGAGGCACGACATACCTCACGACATGAGTAGATGCCTGTGTCTGCTCCGTGCTGACTCCTCTAGTGCAGCAGCAAGATGAGGAGCCATACAAAATTAGATATTTCTGCATGTAAAATATAAAGTCATTATAAAAGTACTTACATATCTGGTTTCGCGTCCAGCTGCTCTGTGCATTGCTGTTGACGACTGTATACAAAATAAACACACATTAACAGCAAAGAATTGAGGAGCACCTCAGAGAGTTTTTCCTAATGATGGCAAGTTATTAATTGCTCTAACTCTAGAAAACTTCGGTTTGAAGTTGGCCAGAAAGAGATACATGAGAATAAGGTTATTAAAATCTTCCTTTAAATGTTAATAATTGAAATTACCATTTCATTTTTTTTATGTGACAAAATTTGATCTCGCTCTACTAAAGCCGACCTTTAAGTTATCTCTGAGGACTCTCATGATAAAATGCATATTAATAGACAACCACAGGTGTGATTGCCCCATGAGATTTAGCTTACGTTTGCTCACAAAATAGCATAAAACTGACTTTCTTTCATTTTCTCATTTGCAAGAACTCGCTTTCATCTGACTCTTCTCCTCATCCATGCTATTTCTAAACATTTATATGGAACACACTTTTTTCTTCCCCTCTGTGACTCCCTTTTACCTTCGATTTAAATGCTTTAATCTCTTATTCTGAAATCTTCACAACCTTTACCTTTGTACCCTACACTGCATCCTGTTAAGCTCATTTATTTCCTCTTTATATGATTTACTTATTGCTGACTGATGCCTGTCCACTCAAGTGAGTAGACCCAAGGAAGAAGGTTTTGGATCCTATAGCTCTGCAGTCCGACTTGGTAGTAGCGTCTTAACCACATTGAATTCAGTGTGGGCACTGGAAAACATTTCTTGAATATAAGTCTCTTTCTACTTTCTCAGCCACTGTCCTATATCCCTCTTTCAGCTGCCTGAAGCCTGATTCACCACTGCATACTACTTGACAGAAATAATTTCAAAAAATGAAAATGAAGTTTGAAGAGTGCATAAAATATACATACTCAAGAATACCGCTTCTTTGCCCTATTTTTGCATAGTGGATTGGACATTGTGTAGGAGAGGTTGAGTTTATTAGCTTGGAAAGGTTTTTGATGTGTCCTTCTGCCAAAAATCCCTTTTCTCCCATTTTCAGTTGGATTTTTGGCATTTCACTTTCCTATAGCTGCCCAGACCAAGTTGAATTCACCTGGGGCAAATAGAGTACAGTTCTATCCTCTCTTGGTTGGTCATCCTTGTGAACCCAGAAGTGGCACAGAGAGAGTTTATTTCAATTAGAAGTTTAACATCAGAATAGAAAGTTGTCTCTGTCTCTCACTACCTGTTGCTGAGTTATCCAGGGTGAATGGATGTAGAAGATAGATTCTGCTGTGAGTGGCTAGAATTAAAAGGAAATCAGCACTTAAGAGCTTCTATTTATTCATTTGAATGATCTCTGTATTTGAAACTGGTACCGAATATGAATAAAATTTTGTTATGAAAGATGTTTTCAATCACTGAAGCTAGAAACCTTACCTCCTCGGTAGTTATGACCCACAGATGGCACAAAATCTGGTGCAAGGTCAGAGATTCTGCAGTACGGAAGGTAAGGTATGAAGCATTTCTTCCTCATAGATCCTAGCCTCTGAAACTTTATGAATAATGGACAACTTCTCTTTCATAATATTACTACTTCTGACTTTGGGAAAGCATCCTGCAATAAAGACTGCAGTGGCTCCAGGGTTACAGCTCTATCCTTCCATATCTTTTAAAACACCAAACACTTCCACTGATGTTGCATCCTTTAACTGCAGCTTTCTGTTGTCATAGGCTTTACAGTCTTGATTTGATTTGCTTTGGTGATCACCTGCACAGATTTTTTTTGATGTGCAGGTAGTCTCATTCGCTTACCTTGCCAACATCTGACTCCGAGGTCATCTGCAAGAAACTTGGAGAAGATTCACATCGGCGCTGAAAAATGATTTTCAAAAGAGCACAAAATTCATTAATGATGAGCGGAAAAGAAAGGAATAGAAAAAGTCAGTCTCACATAATGATGGATTACCATAGGCAATGGATCCTGTAGGACCTGGTCAATGACAGCACACAACTCTTCTGTTTGTTGTCTAAGTTGGGCAGGGGAGCACATCTGAAAAAGGAAGAAGCATCACTCGATCAGCCTTTGCTTTGTATTTTGAAATAGAGATTTGGAAGAGATTTGGCAGAGATTTGGAAGAGATATAACAGTACTACCTCTGAGTGAGTGTCCAAAGTGGTACCTTCAGTCAAAGCGGTCTTGGTTGGCTCTTCTAATGCCTACAGTCAAAAAGATTTCATTGTTACACTGAGTTCAAACTTAAAGTAAAAAACAAACACTTTTTGCAATTTTGCATTTCCATATATGGACCTTTTCATTTGACCAGGGAAATACTGAAAAAGAAGAAATTACAAGTTTAGTAAGATTCTTCAGGTTACCATCCTCTGATCCTGAATTAGAGGGTTTTTGGTAAAGAGTGAGAATTTCATGGAAAGTAAAGTTGGATGAATTCGCTCTATGTTTAAAGATCTGAAACTACCAGGTTAATTTGTCCTTTCCTACCGAAGTTTCCTTCAGTAGTTGTTTTCTTTAAAAAGTGCCAATTGATAGTGATCCCGTGTGGCAACAAATATGGTGCCTAATGTTTTTGGACTTATACAACGTCCACAAACTCTCCAAAAAAAACAAAGGTTTCTTTGTTTTTGAATATATCTCCAGCCTTCCAACATCCATACTTGGATCAAGTTTGAGAATAGTGGGAGTCAGTCTGCAGATCCCTCATCTTTTCAGGAAGTTTGGAACACCCACAAAAGCCAAATTTCACTTCAGCACTCAGTTCCCTTTTAATCTTCTTCCAGAGTCTGTGAGGCACACTCTCACTGCCATCACCCATTTTTGCTTTGAAACCATTTTCAAATAGACTCCATGCCGAGACCAAAAATTACTCTGGAATCATGCTGATGAATGAATCTGAACTACTCAGGAGGAATCAGCAGGGTTTGTGTATTTTTTGTTTAGCATATTATGTTTCTCTGATGTTTCATTTTATTAGTTATATGCAAAAATAAATGATAATAAGAGCAAAAAAGAGTCTGCCTATAAAGCTAGGAACACTCCACTTTTCAGGCATGTGGGATTTTGTGGCAACAAACTGATCTCAGTGTGGTACATAGCAGGGCTGCCAATCACAGAATGCATACATGGAGCTGAAAAGAAAATTACAGAATCTTTAAGAAAGAGAAAATAAGCATGTAATGAAGTAATTCTTTTTTTGAATGTAATTTTACTGAGTACAGTTTCTTTTTTCTTTTCTTGCCCAGCTATTGACAGCATAGGTCTAGGTATTCATAATTGAAAAGGTAGTGATAGTTTACTTTTGTTATTATTTTTAATACCACCTGCAAATAATTCTGCCAACATAGAAGCACATTTATGGAACATCATGTCTTATATCAGAGTGTACAGTAAGAAAAAAAGAAGAGGTAGCTTCTTCCCAAACACATTTCTTCCCTCCCCTCCAACTCTAGAGAAACCTATGGCCCTTACATAGTTGTAATTAAAAAAAAAAAAAAGTAAAAGAATGATATAGGTCCTTAAAATCCTGTCTGACATACAGAAATTAATGTCATCTTTTCCTGAGATAGAATATGAAGAAATTAATCTCTTTCTCAACTCTGCCGTCTCATTGCTGCTATCTAGCAAAATTCGCAGGTCAACAGACGGATCTGTAGAAGAGGACATTACAGGGGCTCAATGCTACACTCCAGCACTTTGTCCCCAGTTCCGCTCCAACCTGAATAAAATCCTCCTGGAAAACATAAAATGACGCTGTAAAATGTAAAAGGAAGTGGAAGAGTCATTCCAGTTCCTATTAGGGCCACAATTCTTATATGAGATGATAAGTCTGAATGTGAATGAGAAAAAGTAACCTATTTTGCTAAGCAGTTTCAATCAGTCACACATTTAGAAAGGGGAATTTGCTAAGCTCTTTAAAAAAAAAAGAAAAGAAATCAGTAGGATAATACACATAATACATTAATCATTGAGAAAAAATATATATTTCTCTTTATATTTGCTTCACCGAGGCAATGGCAAAGGCTGAACACATTTGGAAACAGTTACCCAGAAGCTACTAAGCAGACTTTCTAGAAGAGTTATAGCCACATACACAAGTCTGTGTTAAGAATCAAGACTTTTGGAGCCTGGATAATTTTAGTACAAAATGTCCATTGCTTTCAATAGAAAATGGGATCCCAAATACCTTTGAAGTTTGTAGCCTACTTTTACAGAAGAACTCAGGTGAGTGCAGCAACAAGGACTCTGAGTTCAAGGATCCCTGTGAAAGGCTGCCACAATACAGCAGCCACTCTAGAGAAACTCACAGTGTTCTTGTTCCTTTTTGAATCCTTGAGGAAGAAAAATTATAAAGTGATCTATCTAGTTTCTTTCACTATTTTTTTATCCCTTTTTTCCACAAGAACAGTCTGAATTCTCCAAATAAAAAGAAGAAATAAAGACCACTAGATTTCAGGCATAGCTAATGTCTCTACAAAAATGGTTCTGTTTAATATGTTGGTAGTTTTTCAAAATGAAACTGAATATTTTTTTCAACAGTGCATTCTTTTTACATTTCCACATAGAGAAAAATGTAGGATTAAAAAAGTACTACTGGCATTTCTGAACTCATTACTGGACTTATCATACAGTAATGTTATGATTAATTTACAGTATTAGTGTTATCGGCAGTACTGTTGATTAGTGCTATCAACGGTATTCAAGCTTTGCTCCCTATGCCGATGGTCTAACAATATGAAAAGCATAATATTCCCATTTAGAAATTCCAATTTTTTGATTATATATGGAAAACAGTAACGGGGCCACAATTTAAAAGAATAGTGTAATTTAGAGAATAAAAATGTATTTATGACAGAATTTAAATGTGCAGATGAAATAGCCACTTGCTGAACTGCTAATTTTATCCCTGTGAAAGGCAACTTTGGGGTGTGATGCGTACATGCCGTTGACGTCAGTGATGACTACAATGCCTCCCTCCTTTTTCCCCCAAGCTATTTGACTGCTAATGCTCTATCAGAGAAGAAATGTTACTGATAAACGACCTGAACACAATCTCCAATATTTTGGTAAAAGAGTGAAAGGTCTTGAAAAACGTAGAAAATGTTGAGCATTGTTTTATCCATCAATGAACCACATCAATTGTAGGAAAAAAAAAATACTGTAACCTGGATCTGCCACAGCTTCCTTCTTACTATTTGACTTACCAAAACCCTGTGCTGAGCAAAGCATAGGAAGTTTTTATCTTCTATTTCTCTTGCATATTTTTCCCATCAATAAGTTTTCCCAAGCCCTCATAACATGAAAAGATTCCTTCTATATAATGGAACTTCACTTACCATCAGTTCCCTTAACTATTTCTTAAAGATCATGGAAAATGCTACTGAAAAAGCCTGACTACTTTTCCTCTTATGAAATAATTAATATTAACAGCTACAACATCTTTGAAAGAGAGAGGGAGCTCAGAGATTGCTCCTACATTGGTAAGCTCCGCTATTGTTACAGATGAACTAAGTCCAGCCAAAGCCCTCTAGGACTGCACAATTTCCCTTTTTTCTAACCGCTAGGTATTGCTCTCTAGCTTCAAGAAGCATTCCTTTCTTTGACATGAATACGTAATCCTGATGTAAGAAATTCAGCTAGTATGTGCACACCAGAAGTACTCGGGGAAAAAATTCAATCTATTTTTATCAAAATATTATTTACAAAATGTTGTCAGAAATGGTTTTCAGGTCCAGGATGAACCTGACATACGTGATAATAGGCAACAGTCTACCAGTTAGGTCTCTCATCTGACATGGGGAAATCTCGGTGTCCAAGTTCCTGTCGTGTGATTTCAAGGAGGGACTTGAATCTACATTTGACATGACCTACCCCTATACCAGAGGGTATTTAATAATACAATAGATAAAAACTCCCGCAAGACAGGAACTTGAAGCTGGGTCTCCAGTACAGTGGATCCCTGCCATATTTGCTCAGTTAAAAGCATTTCTCTCCTTTCATGAAAAATAACTCATTTTTCTCCAGCATGAGGAGGAAAATGCATTTCAGATCCTCTGAATTTTTGATGAAGGAAATACACTGCACTGCCAGTCAGTCTTCTGTGTAGACAATGAGATGCAATTCCTAGATCATCGGAGTTTTTCTAAGGTGTAAAGTCATTCGGAAAGACTATTTTAGACTTTCTTGAAGTTAGTCAAATGGCAATTTGACAAGAGAGAAGATAAAGCACAGCCATACAGAGACAAAATCAATGATGTAACATGTTTCTTCATTTAGAAAGATTTCTTTTTTCTTCATTTGATATAAAACTGAAATCACAGTCATTTGGATAATAAATACAAGTAAGATTAGCCAACAGTGATTTCATTTGCACCCCCTCCACCCACAACCAGTTATACCTAATGCTTTTCAGAAGCCTTGGTACACGTGGGGTAGGTCTAGGCTGTGAGGCATGTGTACCTCGTGGCACACCACATCACCTTGGTTTCACCACAGTCCAAGTCTGCGTGAGGTTTGAGCAGAATATTATCAAGCCCTCCCCCCACCCCCAGCCTGCATGCCCAGGTTTCTTTACCATGTAGATGAGGACCTAGATCTGAGAAATTTATCCCAGTCAGAATGCAAATGGGATGTGTATCTGGACAAGGGCAGCAATACCAGGTTCTCCTGCACAGCCCTTACACTAACTGTTCACAAAAAAACTTTTTATTTGCAATCCCAAGAAGTGTCCAATGGAGTTTTGGGGTTACACCTCAAATTTGACATAATTCTGAAGATGAAGCAGGATTTGGTTACGGGATTGTCTACTTACAGTTAGAAATTTATCTGCAGCTCCCTGAAATAGATCCTTCATCATAATGTATTTAGAGCGAAAGATATTTTTATAAATATTTCATAAATAAATTCTCTAAATGATACATATATTACTTTTGAAAATGAAATAATACCTCATTAGGATTGGAATTTTAAATGAGTTTGTGATTTTATAAATATATATAACTATATAAAAGACATTCAAGAGTGAATGTCAGTAGAGGCGTGACTCACTGATTCAGCAATAACTCCGGAAGGAACCACAGCGGACACCTAGTCTGACCTTTTCTTTAAACCACAGAACTACCTGGAGTTACTGTCTGAAGTGCCAGAAAAGTGGTCTGTCTTGATTTTTCTGTGTGATAGAGAACCTATTTCGGTCTCTGGAAAAATTTTCTGATGATTAATTAATCCCCTCTGTTAAAATTTTTTACTTCTTGACTTGATTAAAATTATCCAGCTACCTCTTCTAGCCAGTGGATCCTATTGTCTGCAGGGCTGAACTATTCATTATCATAATCTTATCTTCCTGTGGCCTGAGACCAGAGTTAGTCAAAATGGGCCTTTTGGCTACGCTTGGAGATCCCTTTTATCCATCAAAACTATAGAGCTGTTTCAAGGACAGATTTCCAGAACAGAATTTCCTAATCAGTGAGCATAGCCTATACTCCTTCCAAAATTACATCAACAACTACAGATTACCCAAATTTATTCACCAAAGGCGTGATATTTCTTAAGGGAGATGCACAGTTTCTACTCTACACATAAGAGAGATACGTCTATTAATGCTGGCTTTGATGAAACATTGAAATACCTTTATTAAAGGGATCTATTTATTAAGGAGGCAATCAGAATTTATTATGGCTTAACAAAATTGGATTAATAAGATTTCATTATGGTATCAATGTCAGTTTCCTATCATGTGATCTAATTAATACTCCACAAGAACTGTTACCCTGACAATCCACATCAGAGTTCTGACCATTTCTCAAGAACACTCAAATGAAATAATATTACTATCTTAATTCATTTGACTGGTCATGAGAAACGATTGGAAACGACTTTTTCCACTTAAACAGTGGAAAAAGGCTGACTTCTGAGAACATGCATTTCCAGTTCAATTGCATAGCACAATACTTTTCCAGCGTTTAGGCAGATGATGTATTCCTAAGCATGCACTCGGTTCAGTAATATCTGTGCATTGCAGAACTGCCTTCCTTGCTAAAAGAAAAAAATTCTTCTCTGAATAGATTTTATCCTAAAGTTGCAGGTTAATAAAACGTGATTTATGTAGTTAAAATTTTGCCATCTGGAATCTCTCTCTCTTTAATCCAATGTTTGTATCAAATGGCAGCAACATAATTACTGTCATTGAGCTATGATGTGACATGAGTTTCTTCCTGGTTCCCTCTCCTGATACTTGAGCAGAATACTTGGATATTAAAGCTTAGTACAATGGGGCTTGTGTGTGCTGTTTGATTCCTTAAAGCTTCCTTTAAGACCCATTCTATAAAGGCAAATCAGCTAACACAGCTGGATTAGTTTAGGAGTGGTCTAATTAGCTGCTGGTGTGAATCAATAGATTGTTATCCATAATCCCCAAGATGAGAGAAAGCAGCAAGAAGGTTGTACACCAGACCTGACATAGTCGTGATGCCCGGAGAAACTCAGCTTTTACAACTGTAGTCAGGCTGTGCTGAAAGGTAGAATTTACAAAGTAAATAAGATCCTCACTTGGAGGCAAATCCTGTGTTGCAAAAGTAAAGTCCTGCTAGTGTTGCATGACTGTACTATCTGTACTGAAGGACATGCCAAAGCTAGCATTTTCAATAAAATGGTTGAGAACCACAAGCCCCTCTCTAAATGCAGATATCTTTTGAGTCATTACCTCCATTTTTTTTTTTCTGATATTGGAATTAGACTCTACAATTCCATTTTATGCACTAGGGATAAGTTACATACAGCTAGTAAATGTAAACACTCAAGAGAGGGTCAGTGAGACCCTCTCTCAGATGGACTGCCTTTCTTCCGAAACAGTGCAGTCAGATGGCTGCCTTTAATCTGCCAATTTGGAGCACAAGTGGACTTTCCAGCGAATCTCCCGCTCAAACTCACACACTGGGCTTTGGCTTGCAATGCAGAGCAGCCTTAGAGTGCACAAACTGGCCTCCTTTCAGATGAAGTTAACCTTGAAGATGCACTTCAGAAGTTCACTTAATGTTTCCAGTCACCAGCATGCTCTCTGCCCAAACTAAACCCTCCCGAAATACATACTGCAGGGATGTAGGAGCCTCTGATCCAGCTATTTTACTCTACAGAGTCATTTCTACTGGATCATATTACATGCTAATGCAGAAATAGCCATAGTCAGTCCATTCAAGCTATAAGTAACATAAAATTCAGGTTTCATGCAAATGATGAAGAATTTCACTCAGGATGAAAAGAACACTGGAAAAGAAAGTGAGTCTTATCTTTCAGCAAAAAAAAATTATAATTTATATCCGTTAACTGATAACTGCTAGGTTTCAAGGACAAAATCATTGTCTTCAAAATTCTTTATGAAGAGCTAAACTCACATTTTCCAGCGTCTTTGGGCTCTGCAAACTCCTAGTGGAATTGACTGAGCCATGCATGCAAATACATATTTGCATGTGTAGCTAGGGATGCTTGATTTTGTAGAAAGTTATTAGGGGTTAAGCTCCTGAACTAGATCCACAGAAAAGATTTTAATGATGAAACAATAAACTGGGTGCCAGAGTCATTAAGTACGTCTCTTTGATTTATTTGGCATTTCATTCTCATGGCTAATCACAGGAAATTTTTGTTAAACATAATGAGCTGTCCTTTGCGTAAAGCTAATTTGGGCAAAATTTTCAAAAAAAAAGTATTAGTGGGAACTTTGATGCTCCTGTACAAAATTTATATTTTCAGCTGACTTCCAAGGCTGCATTATCTAAATAGGGACTATACAACCCAGTCTTTATTGGCAATGTCTGTACTAGTAAATTAAATGCACTAAAGACTGTTCCCTGGAACCGTTCTCTTTTCCTAGAGAAAAGGATTGTTACTCCAAACTGTCTACTAGAAAAGGACCCCTGGTGCATGCTGTCGAACTGCTCCTGGGAGTCGTCTGGGGGAATGGGAGCTGGCAGAGGCCAATGCAATGGCCAGGGCCATTCTCACAGTTTAACAGTATGCCTAAGCAAATTCCAATATCGGGAACATTTCCTCATGTTGTTAAATTTGTTAGCGTAAGCATAGCCATCGAATAATTATTAAGTAACACCGACTGACTAGTAGGTCCTAGAATAGCCGCACTCCAGACATTTTCAAACAGCAAAAAGGACTTTTAGATATTGCTATAAATGACAATTCATTTAGGAGAGAGTTTTTACAGCAAAATTATTTTTAAAATTCAGATTAGTGAAGACTTTGAGCTCCAGCAGAAGTGGTTGACCCTGAAAAATGGTTCAAATTATAATCCTGAGCAGCTAGTACCCAGAGCTTATATTCTGCAATTTCCCCAACAGAAATGTCGGAATATGTACATAAAGTTGAACGGTCTCAAATACACAATGCATATCCATGTCTTCGAGCAAACACTAACCTTCTGTTCCATTAGTAATGTGTTTGTAGGGATGGCTGCAAATGCCTTGTAGCTTGTCTTGATCTTGTACTGCTAAAAGGGGTGAACCAGAAAGCAGGAAAAGAAGTAAAAAAAAGACAGAAGAGGCAGAGAGAGAGAGAGAGGGAAGAAAGGGGAAAGGTGCGATAGATTGAAAGATGATTCTAATTGTCTCACAGGCACATTGCAATAATACAATGCTTACTTATTACTTAGAAAACTTATATCTTGAAGATGAGCCTAGTGTTTCTATTAAGATTTTAAAGGACTGTAGCGTAATATTTTTGCATCTGGAAACGAAGTAAGACTAAGTGAAATCTTTGTACCAGTTTATAATTTCTTCAGTGATTTTGACTGCTTTCTACTGACTTAATTCCTTAAAAGAAAATAGGAGATGCTGTGGGGTTTTTCCAAGTTTGCTTGTGATTTGAAATGATAGCGCAAAGCTACTTCTGCCAGTACCTGCACCTTGAACTGTCTGCTGCTGTGCAGTGTGCTCCTGGGCCACTGAAGTCAGAGCGATTTCTGTGATTGGCTTTAATGAGACTTATTAGGATCTTTCTTTTCTGAATCACTTAGGTAAGTGGATAAGTCATTTAAGTCATGTGATACTGCCTTTCACCTACTGAATAAGTAAATCCACCACTAAAATATTTCAAGACAATTAAGCAATTTTTTTAGATTTTAACCAGGTGTACAGAGCTGACAACCTATACCACACAAAATGTATGTTTAGGGGCAAAAAAATTCTGAGATCAAGTTTAAAAATTATTTATTTTGAACAATTCATATTTTGGATTATATTAATTTGCCTGGAGATTTTTAACTTTTAGAAATCATACTTTCCACTTTTTCTTTGCAATCATAGATTGTAAATTCAGCTATTTTTAGATGAACATTGAGATTCTTCTATACTATGCAAGAGTTCAAGAGCTGGGACTCTTAATCACAGGACTGCCAGAAACCTTTCTTTTGTAAGCACTTAAACATGTATTTGCAACATGTTTTCCCCTTTCAGCAATATTCCAATAAAAAACATTGACTTTCACAAATTTGCACAATAGTAGTTTTAACTTATAGGTTGAATACTTTTTGTGATATTCATCCAGAATTAAGTCAGATGTTAATCAGTTCTGCTTTTTACTGTCTGTCTACAGCTGTGAATAGTAGTGATTATGAGACAAGAGGCGGAGCAGAATGCTGCGCTTTGGGTTGTTTATTTGTCACTTTTTTCCTGTCTTTATTAAAACTCTTGGTGACTGCAGTGAGGCCAGTATTTTACATTAGATGAAGGAAATTAACCTAGTCCTTGTATCCCCCTTGACACACTGTAAGACACCACCTTTTAATTCTACCTTCTAAATAATGATGTTATAGTCCCTTGGGAGCTGCTCATATTTATTTTCAGTCAGAACTTGGAAACTGTCAATCTTTGAAGAAGTTGATAGAATAATCACAATAATCATACTGAGTGTACAATCTGTTAAAGTAGATCAGTGCAATGTCAGAAATGCACTTTTTTTCTGGTACTTTATATGAGATTTAGCCATTCTAACTTAGATGTTTGCCTTGTAGGTGCTTCATTCAGGCCTAATGTCTTTCATAGTCAATGGAAAGAAACGGATATTTCTACAGAACAATTCACTCATCCTAAAATAAGCATCTCGAACAGATAAAATTAATCACCCTTAGAGACACCATCTTCTCTCCTTTGACAATAATAGAACTGCCTAGCTTATTCACAAATGTCTAACTTTCAAAGGTAAAAAAATGTGAGCTGAATCCTTCCCTTTGAATGTTTATAAAACAGCACCCTGCCTTCCGCATGCGTAGGTACGCATATATTTTTACATATATACAACTTCTATCTATATGTGGACATTAAACACAAAATACTGTGCACTGAAATAGCACATAAGACCAAAATTTCACAGACTTAAATTGGCATATCCACAAAACGTATCCTTGTTTACTTAAAACTGATATTCCACCAATCAAATGAGCACTCAAATGAAATGATACTTCTTCATAAGCTTTTGTGTTTCTACATCTCTAATGAGTATACTGTGACTACTTTGATGTTAGTCGTACTGGTCTATGAACCAAACTAAGATATGTTAGACTATTTAAATGTAAGGGTTAGTATTCTGCTTTAATTTGCTTTAGCTCTTTCAGGTACTGTGGAACCTGTTGAGCACAGTGCGATTATCAAAATCAAGCTGTTGAAGATGAATGTAACATCCTTAATTCAGTTACGTTTCTACAGGAATTCGTTTCTTGACACATTCTGTTGCCTTACTTGAAATGATTAGTGTCAATAATTTAATTTTCTTTACTTTGGCATTTATTACTGTTCAGAATCTGATTATGTTCACATGGTAATCAATGGAAAAATATTGACTATTGCAAAAGGAACAGAAGATTAGACCCTTTTAAAACTAGTTCTTTGTATATTGGTGTTCTAAGGGACTACTGGGGCACATGCAATTAAACGCAAGCTATATTTCTCCACATTCCTTCAGATGCCCAGCTACTGGCACATAAGCACAATCAAGTAAATAAGACTCAAAAATTGTTATTCCTAATGAAAATATTTCCATCCATAACAATGAAAGACATTACTTACTTAGCCACTGATATTCTTTAATAGTAGATATGTTGCATGCAATGTTAAAGCACTCTGCAAATACTGGGTATAATTTTCAGGACCCAGGAGTCTATCACCCATGCATTCTTCAATGGCTAAATATATTTAAGAATCTGATTCCTAGGAACCCAGCAATATTTTTAAATGTCCAGAGACAGTGATGTCTGCTGGCCTGCACTATGACCAAGACAGAAGTAAGCAACTCCATAAGTAAAACTGGGGCAAATATCAACCCGAGGAGTTGTTTCAAAAACATCTTATATGCCTTGCTCAAATAATCACTAAGGGCACCGACAGGACATTGCTACAGTGTGCTAGACACACACCTATAAAGGCTTAAAACCAGCAACTAACCGTGGCAGTGTAGAGCTCCTCATGACTAATCATCTTTTCTGCTTTGTAATAGGGTTACCAGCTGTGCTGAGCAACATGTTGCTACAACTGCTTTGTTCCCAAGCTGGTTTGAGTAGCTCTGTATGCACTCCTGTGCTATATTCAGTAGGAAAAAGCAAATATATAGGAATGACATCCCATTTTTAAAAAGTATAACATTGACAAGTATAAGCATAAATGTCCTAATATATAAAGCATCTGCAAGTATATGCATTTATATATACACAGATGCAAATACTTAGATAAGTTCATAGGCTGTTCTTTCATTTCCATGAACTGACACATGCATAGACATACACGTGTAAAAGCTCTCCATTAAAGAATATTTTTTGCAAGCCATGTGAGAGCATAATTGCTTTGATATTGTGCTAAGGAAGCAGTGTTCTGTGAATGCTGAAATAAACATTCAATGTTGAAACCTTAGTTTAAAAGATGCTGGTTTAAAAGGTGTCTTCACAGGTGCCTCAACAGTGGTTGAGGCAGCATTAAGGTTGCAAAATTACACATGCAAAAGTCGAGCACTTCTAGATACTACACTTTTCCCTTGATGTTCACATACAGCAACTCTACATGTGAAATTTTTGTCATGCATCAAGAGTCATCAGATGGAGCTGCATGCTCTTTGTCTCATTCTAATGCTGGACTGATTGGCACTAAAGAGACCTAAACGCCGCTTAAGATATTCATGTTGTCTCTCCTCAATCTTTTCCTTTTTTCACTGGAAGTATACTGAGATTTGAGATTGGAGAGTTATCAGAGTCTGGTAACATTAACAAATGAGCAAAACAGAAGTCTGTTGAGCTATTTCATAAACTATATATGCAAATAAATGCGAGCAGGGAGAAAAGGGAGTGCTGAATGCACGCTGCAAACTGAACTTGCAGCCTCGCATTTTAAAGCCAGAAAAGCTCATCTTGCACTGAATTTGAGTCTGCATTTGGTTTAGGGGTTTCAGATCTTCTGCAGCCCCAGTAGAGTTAGCTTTGACTGTATACGTAAAAATTGCACCAGACTAACAGTTCAGGTCTGTTAATCTAGTAGACTCCCTTCCAATCTCAAAGCGGAGTGGGGCAGGGGGCAGTTTTGAAAGTGCTGCTGTATCACCCAAAAAGTGGAATTAGCAGGGAAATTGATAATAGGGAGGACAGAAAGGGTGCAATAGCCTCTGCAAATATAAATCTAGGCAATAGTTATATGTACCACAGCCAGAGCTGGAGGAACTCAGACTTTTCCTTCTCACCAGGAAGTGTGACAATGCACCGTGTATAGACTCGAGCAGAAACTGCAACTGCTTTGCAATCTGCAGGCCCAGTCATGCCTCACGGGCTTTTTTCTTTCAGTTTCTACAGTTTAATTTCTCTTTTTATTTCATTAAGTAATACTGACAGGGTGTAGCGACATGGTACAACTGTGAGTGGTACAATGGTTCCGTTTGGGCTGTTTGTTTTTTTCAAAGAACCATTTGTGACAATTGCTACTTTGTGCTGATTCAAACCTCTCATTTCCAATTAATGTTTTCCAAGCAGTTCAAGTCACCCCTGCCATGACCAGGCTGTTAGCAACACATCTGACACAACTTGATCTGGCAGACCAGGCTGCACATTTGTGCTGTTACCAAATAAATCAGTAAACTATGATAGCCTTTCTGCGCTGGGTAGTGTGCCCTGTCTGCCAGAGAAGAGCTCAGATATCAGCAAGAGGAGACCTAAAGGAAGAAGAGAAAAGACAAAGGAGGCTGGAAAGCCTTCTGCAGCTCTGCTGTCTTCTGCCACGGTCTCCTCCTTTGTGTATAGCAGTTCCTTTTGTCTCCACAGACACCTACCTATCTGCTGCATATTTTTTATCTGCTTTCCTTTCTCTCCGCTTTCCTTCCCCTGTAACTTCTTTTAAGTTATCTTTATATTCAAACAGTGGCTGGAACCCAAGCCCTCCTGCAGCAGTTGCCATCGTTGCTTTTTCTCACTCTGCTGGGGCTCTCCTCCCTCCTCGCAGATGACAAACAGCGGGAGCGTGG